CAGTCGCTAGAATCCGCCCGCCAGCCGCGACAGAATGCGGCGACACGATTGATCCCAGGGCACTTACTCTCAGCAGCGTTGCCCGACCCTAGGCAACAACCCTCGTCAAGACAAAGCCCTCAACGCTGATGAGCGACCCACCGAGCCCCGGCTCCCAGCTCCGCCGCCAGGTTGGCATCGCCGGGGCGACATTAATGGGGCTCGGGTCGATCCTCGGGACGGGCGTTTTTGTGAGCATCGCCCTCGGGACGGCCGCGACTGGGCCGTCGGTGGTATTGGCAATCGGCGTCGCCGCCGTGGTGGCGGCGTGCAACGGGTTGAGCAGCGCGCAGCTCGCCGCCAATCATCCCGTCAGCGGCGGGACCTACGAGTACGGCTACCGCTGGCTCAGCCCCACCTTGGGGTTTGTCGCCGGCTGGCTGTTCCTCTGCGCGAAGAGCGCCTCAGCGGCCACGGCCGCGCTCGGTTTTGCCGGCTACGCGCTGGGTCTGACGGGGATGCCAACCAACGTCCCCGTCAGTGTCGTCGCGGTTGCGGTCGTCGTGCTTCTGACCTCGCTGGTGCTGTCGGGCCTCCGGCGTGCGAATTGGGCCAACGCGATTCTAGTGTCGCTCACGATCGGCGCGCTGGCGGTCTTCTGCTTCGCAGGCCTGCCAAGCGCGCTGCAGGGTGGAGAGCATCTAACGCCGTTTTTTCAGCCGACGGAGACCGACGTCGCGCCTTTCGCCGGGTTTCTCGAGGCCTGCGCGCTGATGTTCGTGGCATTCACCGGCTACGGTCGGATCGCGACGCTTGGCGAAGAGGTCGTCGAACCGCGACGAAACATCCCGCGGGCGATTGTTGCGACGCTCGTCGTCTCGGCGCTGCTTTACGCCGCGGTCGGCTTCGTGGCGATTGCGTCGGTTGGCGCCGAGGCGCTCGCTGCAGGGGTGAACGACAAGCCGGCGCCGCTAGAGACCGCCGCCCGCGCCTTCACCGGGCCGGCTGTTGCGAACGTCGTGGCGGTCGGCGCCGTCGCCGCGATGGGGGGCGTGCTGCTGAACTTGATCCTCGGCCTGTCGCGTGTCGTGCTGGCGATGGCGCGCCGCGGTGATCTGCCCCGCGTCCTAGCGAGAGTCAATGGCGAAACCGCGTCGCCTACCGCGGCCGTGATGACGACTGGCGTCGTGATCGCGGGGCTGGCGGCGCTGGGCAGCGTCAAAGCGGCTTGGAGCTTCAGCGCGTTCACGGTGCTCGGCTACTATGCGCTAACGAATTTCGCCGCCCTCCGCTTGCGGCCTGAGGAGCGGCTCTATCCCGTGTGGACAGCGTGGGTTGGGCTGGCGAGTTGTTTGTTCTTGGCATTCTGGGTCGAGCCGCGTGTCTGGCTGGCGGGCGTCGGGCTGATTGCCTTGGGGCTCGTGGGACGCTGGATAGCGTCGCGGCGTCCCCCTCGATGACGGTATAAAGGCCCCTCGTTATCCGTGAGAAGGAGAGAGCCTATGTGGTTACAACCTTTGCTCCGCACCAGCGCGCCGGCGTCGGTGCTGCTGATCCGCTTGATGGTCGGCTTCGTCTTCTTTTCGGAAGGCTTGCAGAAGTTTCTCTATCCGGCCTCCCGAGGGGCGGGACGCTTTGAGAAGATCGGGCTCCCTTCGCCCGAGGCGCTGTCGTACTTCGTCGCGTCCTTTGAAGTCGCCTGCGGCGTGCTGTTGATGCTGGGGCTGCTGACGCGGCTGGCGTCGCTGCCGACGATCGCGATCATGCTGGTGGCGATCGTGACGACCAAACTGCCGGTGCTTGCCGACGCGGGCTTCTGGCAGATGGCCCACGACGCGCGGACCGACTGGTCGATGCTGCTGGGTTCGATCTTCCTCTTCATCGTCGGCGCGGGCCCTCTGTCGATGGACGCGAAACTGACGGCGCCCGACCCGCCGGACGCAAGGAAGGAGGACGCGTAGTCTCCCTTCCGCTCCAAAAACTCACCGCAAGCCTGTTGACGAGAAGATAGTTCATATGTAAATTATTTGCGTGCCGCACAAATGGTCCCCAACTGCTGTGGCTTTCACTCACTCACTCACTCACT